CCTTCCAAAAGAAGCTCTAAAAAAGAAGCACCCCAAACCTTCCAACAACAAGAAAAATCAAATTCCGATTCCTTGCCCGACTCTTCTACTGGTGACGAGTATCGCTCCCTGAGACGCAAGTACTTRCTACTGGAGGAGGAAAGCTTCAATTTAGGAAGAGAAACAAAAGATATTCAAGATGCAGTTAATTCTCTCGAGGAGGAGAAGCTCTCGCTCTTAGACGAACTTGTTGTATTGGAAGGACTAGTTGATCCTTCGGAGCTGGATGCYAGCCGGCGTTTGCCATAACTTCTGCAGATACTTCTTTCGCTTTTCTTTCTAAATTTTAAGAGGTTAACAGGTTTATAGCTTTATTGTGTATGTAAAACTTACATTTTGATTGAATGYTCCAACTATTGATTCTTAAACTTGTGGCTGAATTGTAGTTTTCTATCCATCAGACACACACACGTCTATTTGATTGTGATCTGCATGTTTGATAAAATCCAAGTAATGCCTCATATACAATGTTCTAATGTTAACAGATATACACCGTATAATTCAAGAAAACTGCACAAAACAGAATAATAACATATTTGTATAATTGCTAGTCGTAAGCTACATTTTCCTCTGAGAACTGTCAGGAACTTAGTTCCACTCCTTTCTGCCTTGCTATCACTCACTATGCCGGTGGTGTTTGCATAAATCTTTGGCTTCTAATTAGACGAGYMCRCCCAAGTTAGAAGGTGCAGCTCGGACAACTAGAGGTGTAGTAACACGTGACCTTTTGTTTTTCCATTGCAAGTAACCAAACACGTAACCCTGAGAAGGTGCAGAGATCTTGAAAGTGACAGTGAAGTTCATTTTCTGGCCATAGTGGTTGAAGACTAATCTGTGTGGGAGCACAGTGACTTGAATTCCGTGTGGAGTAGCTACCACTGCTCTGTAAGTAGTTCTTTGTCTCTGCTTCTGAACATTTGTCAAAGTTCTAGTAACCGAGAAGCTTGACTTGAGTTTAGGTACTAAGATTGCAGGATAGTTGAGGCTGGAGGGAGTTGAGAATGCTTTGTTTTTGCAAGTGCTGTTGTCCCTAGTTATCAGGTGAAGCAATTTCTCGTTATAACCTATTGAGCAAAGAAAAGCTTTGTAGTCTGTGGGATTTGCATCATAGACAAGACCAGGTTCAAGCACCGTCGTAGGGTCCAGAAAACCAGAGCCATAGTCAAATGCATTCCCCCTTCTTGCTTCAGGGTCAACCCTGATGGGTTTTCCGTTCTYGTCAAAAACTGTAGCTGCGTTATTGTTATTTATATCAGATTCTTTGATTCTAAAGGTACTGATAAAGGTGGGAATAATTCAAGTCTACACCATCAGTAAACTTTACCCGTTGTCATGATTGAAGATTTGATTGCAGATGGAGACCATGAGGGATGAACAGCTTTGATCAAGGCTACAATACCAGTTACATGTGGACAAGCCATGGAAGTTCCAGAGAGAATGTTGAACTTCATTCGTCCAATTGCTGGTGACCATGCTGCAAGGATATTCAGTCCTGGAGCTGCAACATCAGGCTACAAAACAGGTAATATTTGGTTTACTTATTACAATCAGTAGGCTGTTAAACGTGTGGCACAATAGTTAAATAATCTTTACCTTTAAAATTTCCGGGGTTAAGGCATTGGGACCTTTAGAAGAGAATGATGCTACTCGAGGGGCATGTTGTGATCCTATTTTGGCATTTGAAGCGAAAATCCTTGATGTTGCATTGCTATTGTAGATGGAAAACCATGTTAACGAAAAAAAATAACAGAATGTTACTTGGAAGACGATTAATTGAACATCGATAAGTCAAAGGCACAAACCGTGTGTTATTAATGTACGATAAAATCCTGTTCCCCATCCTTTTTCCGATGATGGCAGCCGGGATCACAAATGGAATGGCAACATCCTTGTCAGTTTCATCTATTAGGATCATTCCAACTCCACCGGCTGCTTTGACTACCTCGCTCTTGGCCAGCTTTGACTCTGTTGAGCGCTCTACGTGCCGACATAACAACACCTTCCCTCTAGTCTTTGTGTAGTTTAACGAGCTTTCTAAGCAGTAACTAAAAGGCAAAACACAAGGAGGGAACGAGAAGGAAGATTTTAACTCTTCTTTTACACAATAATAGTGCCTATCATATAAACCATAAACAAAAGTACCTGTTTCTTCACCTGGATTGATAAGGGGTGAAATAGCCCCTATTTGCTATTGAAGCAGATATGATTCTTGCAGGGGCCCTCATTTGATGTACACTAAGACTTTCCCCCTGTAAAAATAAATATAAACAGATAAGTTCAAGTCTATCATTTATGTTTTAACTGAAGAATTCATGAATTGTGACATTTTCTCGATTCAAATTTACAGGAGGTGGGGGTAGGGAAGTTGAAATTATCATCAGGTACCTTCAATTTAGCACCGTTTCCCATTACAAGTTTAGATGTGAACTCTCTGTCCGTTGAACTAGCTGCAACGGTGATGAGCCAAGGAGCAAGATTTGTAGCAGACCCTTTAGTTCCTTCATTACCAACAGAAGAAACAACAGTTATCCCACGGCTAACTGCATGGAATGACCCAATGGAGATGGCATCATTGAAATAGTCTCCCTGAGGAGCATCAGGCCCCAGGGATAGTGACACGATGTGAACCCCATCTCGGACTGCATCATCAAATGCAGCTAATATGTCAGCATCATAGCAACCTGAATCCCAACAGGTCTTGTACACTGCAATCCTAGCCATTGGTGCACCACCTCTTGCTCCACCACCAGCCAACCCCTTATAGTTCATGTTCTCCACGTAGCGGCCGGCAGCAGTGGAGGCTGTGTGGCTTCCATGACCATTGCTATCTCTAGCAGACCTAAAAGATACTTTCTTTCTTGGATCATCATCTTCTTCGTGTTCCAGTTTAGCATGTTCTTCGGCTTCATAGCCACTATGGTAATATCTTGCTCCTATTACTTTCCTGTTTGAAGTAAAACACATAAATGAGACTAATAATATCATCTTAAAACAATCTATGGAAATGAATGAAGAAAACCTGTTGCAATTTGTAGAGTTGAAGGCTTCCCCTGGTTGGCATGTTCCTTTCCATCCAGCTGGCACAGGAGGCATGTCGGTGTCGCTGAAACTTGGTGATTCTGGCCAAATTCCTATGTTAACATGTATGTTAATCATAAATCCCACATCTTAATTACAAAATAATGCATCACAATAGATCATTTAGAACCACAGAGTTATGACAAATGATTTTGGTAACTTTCTAATGTGTAAAAAGTTGTATTCATTACAAACCTGTGGGAAATATCTGCAATAAAGAAGGCATTGATAAAAACTAGTACTTTCTCTAGGACAAAACTTTGAATATGAAATGAAGATCTGTCATTTTGGATTTAGCTAATAAATGCTATTGTGGGGGTGGGGGTGTCTCATATGTTCAGTTTTCGATGAATGACATGTGATCATAACAAATTGCTAATACTGTTATACCTAACACATACACACACAGAGAGGGAGGGAGACTAGACATAGTAACTGATTACATTCCAGTTTTAGAAGAAAGAATATTGTGAAGAAAAACCCCATACACCAAGATTTCTTGATTTTTGTGAGAATTTAAGAGAGAAACCAACCAGTCTCATTTTTYTTGCATTTTGCTAAAAAGTCAGCTCCCATAATTCAGAGATCTTCCAGGTGGCTTTAATAATAATATTCACATATATCATTAAATGTTGATAAAAAGCTTAAGAGTTATCAACATCCCACCTGTATCAATGAAACCAATGATGACATTAACCTGGTCCTTGGTGGAAAAACCTGGGATTTCCATAGCTTCTTTGCCAGCAAGACCAATGAAATCCCATGAATGTGTTGTGTGCAGTCTTCTCCTTGTATTCTCAAACACTGATACCACTCCTTCCATTTCTGCAGGTACAAAATTAACAATACTACTTGTGTGGAGTATATGTATCTTAGAGAAAGAGAGAGAAAGTTACTGGCAATTTGAAGAGCTTGATCAGCAGTTAACTTGGCAGCAAACCCTTTAAAACCATGTTTATAACTGTACAAATGAGAAGCCTTTGCTTCTTCGATACTGTCAAAAAACACACACACACCCCCAAATCACCAATAAAAGTCAGAAAGGGTTAAACCCTACTGGGGAAAAGGAAAAGGGAAAGAAATGGGATGGAAGTATGAACCTGCCACTATGAACAGAAGAAAGGATTCGATGGTTTTGAACCAAAATTTCATTTGGATCTTCTGTATCTGTACTGCTACCCATATACACCACATACACCTTGAACCAAATCAAACATATCAAGATTAAAGAAGAAGAAGAAGAAGAAGAAGGAGGATGAAGTTATGGGAGAAGAGAAAACTAGAGCTGACCTTAGCAGAAGTGAAGATGGCAAGAGACATAGATATGAGCATACCCAAAAAGAGGGTGTTGGAAGAACCCATTTCTGCAACTAAAAAAAGTGGGTCTTGAGAATTTCTTAGAAACAGGGGAAGTTTAAGAAAGAATTTTATGAGAGAGAGAGAGAGGGAGATTGGTCACATGTATGCCGTGGCACAGTATATGTAATGGGGATCATGCCACAGCCGCACCACGGAAAGATGCCAATTTGGATTTTGGACTAAACTCATCCATGTTAAAGGTTAATGTGTTTTAGTTACGAAGATAAGTCGAGTTCTATGCAAACTCGTTCCGTTACTCACAGATAAAAAAAACCCGTAAAGAGATCATTTTTTATATCGATTTTTTGGTTATGGGTTATTGTTAAATAAATTATAATTATGACGCTCATTTCTTTCAGCTAAATGTAACATTTAATTTAGAACTTGTAACGTAATGTTAGACATAAACAACATTAATTTCTTCTTATGTTTGCTCGAAACCGTAACATATAATGTTAAAATGTATAATGAAAATAAGTAATTGGATAAAAACAATTAATGCAACACAAGTGAGGATCCTGAAATTAAGCAAGCCGTGGGTGGCCTCCACTTGACCCGTCAACTAAGGAGATGTGATCTCAATGTCCATAACATTTAATGAAACTTCCCCAAATTAAATAACATACATAATATAAAACTGTTGATACTTATATTTTTTAAGAATACTTTTTTAAATCAAAATCAGTGTTTTTAAATTTTATAAATGGAGTATTTGAACACAGATTTGTAGGGATGGTTGCTCTTTTGCGGATTAATGGAACCTCGGTTCCACAAATCCAAAAAACTGTCGATACAAAACTTTTTGTATAATTATGAGTCGTTTATCAAACGCTTATTGAGTCACTTATTTTACCCGATTATTATTAACATGGTAGGAACAAAAAAATTACCTAGTAAAAGACATGCTCATATTAATGGTTATTTTCAACATTTAAAACATTACAAAAAGTTATACTTTTTTAATGGTAACAATTAAAGGATTCGAATTAGAATGACAAAAAGAATGAGAATGTTAGAATCAAGGGTGACAATTTTGTATCAAATATGCAAACTTGATTAATACACGATATTGGAAGTTGTGTACCACGAAAGTACTATAATACCAACTTATTTAATATTTACTAGTTTTTGAAAATTTTATATATTAAAGAATTAAAAAAAACACATAGAATATTAGTTTTATGAGTTTGGTTCATATTGGACACACCCCCCACCCATAATTACTTTTTCAGTTACATTAATTAATCAAATTTTGCACTTTCCAAACATTTTCTTTTCATTTTGACCGTTTTAAGCTCATTATTACATTACATATTTTCTTTTGATAATAAAAAAAAAAAATCAGCAGTGAGTGCGACATCATGTTTCATGATTGTTTTGTTTTTATTGTCATAAATATACTTTTGAACAAAACAAAATCAAAATCCATTTATAAAAATTGTAACTAATCATGTACTTTATGATTTAAAACATAATAAAAGAAAACCAGTGTTTTTGATTCACTTTAAAGTTTCAATTTATATGTATGTATAATTATTTATAGACCCGACAAATTATACAGACTTGCAAATCTTTTTCATGCATCGTTTCACATATAAAACAACATGTATGAAAAATATTGTACTTATACAACGTTATTTTATACGTGAAACATTTATGACTCTTTTGGGTAAAAACAAAAATCTTAAACGTTTCACATATAAAACAATATTATATAAATATTGTATTTTCATACACGTTATTTTATATATAAAACAATACATAATATACTTACACAAATTATTGAGGCTATAAAAAAAAAGGAAATTATATTTATAGATATAGGGGTTAAAGTTGGAATTTGACCGTTGGAAAAGGAAGATGCAATTAACAAGTGGCAGACATTCTTAACATTCTAAAAATTGGTGTCCTTTTTGGCTAACGCCCACATGTTTATCACTAACCCCCAAAACATTACTATAATCAACTTCTATGGATATACTTGTCTTTTCTTATAAATAAATCCACCTTTTTATAAACCAATATATATATATATATATATATATTCTTTCTTTTTTAATATAATTATAAATATGTAATTTTGTTGGGATTTTTAGACGATAAAAATCATTAATAATCGTATTTATAATACTGAATAAATCTCATTTGATGGTTAAATATGTGAAACTAAATAACCCAACGTAATTGTTGAATTTATTTTAAAAGATTTTTTTTTTATATTGAATAGATTAAACACTTGATTTCAATATCGTATAACTTTTAACACATATTCATATTTTATTTTGTGAAAAACAAATGATGATATGTATGTATGAATCATATATGATTTTATACACTAACGACATTTTTCTTATTTTCATAAATAGTTAGTGTTCTCGTTCCCGTAATATCTGTTCTGACAAAAATGTAAATAACATATATTATAAAAATAGATGATTTTTTTTATGCTTCACTTTTTAAGAACTTCATTTCTTTATATTGATTTTTTATGAGATATCTTGCACCCTTATTTCTTCATCATCAATTTTTGAATTACTTTTTTTTTGTAATTATAATAATTATGTCTATCAATGATTTACAACGGCAATAGCTTGGCTTGGCTTGGCTTGTTTAACTATTGAATTATGTATATCTTAACTAATTTTATTCGACTTTAGAAATAAACTAAAGAAAATTTCCAGTGGCCATGGAGAGATTTGAAATGTTAATATGTACGGAGGAGTCCAAAGTGTAATCTTTATTTGCGGATTCATCTGACCATCAGCGTTCATAATATTCATTTATAATTATTAATTTGAACATTTGTCAAGCACGTTAAACCCTTTTGAGAAGGTGTAATTTGAAAATCCTTATACTTTATGTGTAACAACTCATTCCACATGGATAGAAAGTGAAAATTGTTAGTTACTTATAAGTCTCAAGTAGCGAGTTATCAATAACTTTCATTGTGATTTTAAGTTGGATTCAAAATTATTAGGTCAATCTGTTGTTTTGAGGGTGTTACATTATGGTTTTTGTGAGACTTTTGAAATGAAAATTTTGATGGAACAAATAACAAATGATCTAATAGAAGACAAATATATGTTTTACATAAATAAAAACAAAAAAAAAACAAAACGTGTCTTTCGGCTTTCGGTTTCAATTTTTTTTTGAAAGAATATTTCCGTTCCAACAAACTTTCTATGTTCTCATTTGTACTATTTTAAGCATTCATGCATTTATCAATGTGTAATTTACTACAAAAAGTTATTATATGATATAATTTAATACTGAGAAGTTATGTGAGAACCATCATCTAAAAATATGTACAAATTGTGTTTCTGGTCCAACATAAAAAAGGATGTTTTTATGTCAACAACAAAAGCTTATCAAATTGTTGATCATCGAGGGGTAGAATGACAGTAGCATGAATTTCATGTAAATTCATGATTTGAAATTAGCACCCATGTCGAGTTTAATAATCTAATTTTATTTACTACTCCATAAGGAATGTGATTTGTTTTTCCGTTTTATCATTGATATGCGAACAATGTTTTTGTTCCCGTTTGTTCTAGTTCACGATATGAGCAAATCATACATACACCCTAATACATGTTAATTGATGTTGAGGACATCCACGAAGAGCGATTGATTATGTGACATTTCTAATTGGTCGTTATGTATTTCTAATAATCTGTTTAGTATTGACATGTTGACCGTTGTTCACACTTTTTTGGTTAATTGTACAGGAATAGGATTGTCAACTAAAAATCGCAACAATACTTTCAAAGAATCAACAGACATGCAAGGGGGTCTGAATTTCTTAACCAGTTCTGTTTACCAAAACCATACATGAATCTCAATTGATTACGACCCAACATATCGGGCCCAAATTTCTTAACCAGTGGCCCCAACTCGTTATGGGTTTTGAAAACCAAATCGGTCCACCATTTGACCTCCATAAGCGGTTCGGTAACCAGTCTTTCGTAATCGACCGAGTTCCATGTACGAGTTTTAAATAAATTGTATGAGTTTTTGAAATTTACATTTTTTCATTTTTTATAATAAAAAAACTACAACTTGGAGGGTGTATAATTAGAGGCATTATAAACAATAACCAATGAGAATTAAGAAAAAATAAGATGTATGGTTTTATATAATATTAGTAATGTATCCATGCACAATGCTACGCAATGCTTATGAAGCCGATAACCCTAAACGACGATCTTATTTCTTGTAGATTTAAAGAACCTGTTAAGGATGCTCTTATAGATTTTAATTTTTTTCATTTTAGACCAAAAAATACACTTAGGGGCCGTTTACCTAAACACTTACCCGGTAAGCACTTACCGGTAAAATTCAACACTATCGCTTACTTACCAGATAAGATTTTATTCACTAAAACGCATCGTATGCAATAATTTAATTCCGGTAAGCGCCAACCATGGTAAGAGTGGTCGCCCTCACTTACCGGATAAGACTCTCGATTTTTGCTTTCGCTCTTACCGGGTAAGATTATCAGTTTTTGTCATATTCATCCAGTAAAATAAAGTGACTTGATAAGCGCTTATTCGAATAAGCGTTTGATAAACGACATCTTAGGAATAGATAGAGATGCATTTAACCTACTATTTTTGAATTTGGTATTCTTAAAATGCGTGCCCTAAAATTTAGAGTTATTATTATTAAAATTTAAATTGCCGACTTGTGATATCTCTGGAAACGCACAATGCTCATTTTATCCCAAACATTCAAAACAAATGTGTAAAAGAGTTGAAACTTTAGGTACCATTTGTTGCTACTTTTATATAGTAAAAGGACTAAACTTGCCAAAAAATTTAAATTACCCCTGTTTTATCATAACCGCTCCCTCCCCGGACCAGGTTTACAACTTCCAGAGCTTTTGGGATTGTTCACCCGCCATTTTTCACATGTCGATGACGGAGGAGACTAATGGAATTCCGCCACAACCGCCGTCGTCGGCGGAACCAACGCCGGCGGAGTATACAGGAAAAATTGTCTCACCAATTCATACGTTCTTTGCAATGATATTGTGGCTTGGCTCTGTTCACCTTATCGCTTTGATCATCTTGGGTTCCTTCTTATTGCTCCCTCTTCATAAATTCTTCCTGTAAGTCATTGTTCACTTACTCTTCATTTTGTATTTCTCATAATTCTCAATTTGAGTATATTTTCAAAAATATTGTAATTCGATTATCATATTTATTTTGTAATTTCTTTTTTTAGGGTATTGGGAATGCTTGTGGTGCTTATCGTCATCCCAATTGATGAGAACAGTAAATGGGGCGTAGCTATGGCCAGGTTCATGATTTCTTTTGTCTCCAAAAAAAATAATTTTGCAAATTCAAAGTTGTGCTTTTTGAATCAAATTGAGTTAAAGTGCTTTTGGATAAAAAATTGCTGCATTTGACCTCACATGTTCATCAAGTGGCCCTGTTCTTTTTTTGCATATTAAATGGTCTGATGATTAGTAAATAGTTCCTCATCAAATAGGATGGTTCAAAATGATATTCACATTTTTAATAATGTCAAGATAGAATAAGAAACCAAAACAAACAATCCCATTAATGCCCATTTGAAATTAGGTTCCACACAGACTTGATCTCGATCCTAAAGAGTAGAGCGGTTGTTCTCGTGGAAGACCATGCCATGTCCAACCTCAATTAGTCAATTGCTCATCCCATGTCCTCCTTGGACTGCCTCACCTTGTCAAGATAGAATGCCATGGATTAAAATCTCTACTTCAATAATTTATATAGATACAATAACATATACATTATTCTAGTGTTATTTACCAAAGACGATGATATATTCTTACAATGTTCAAGCAATTATGACTAGCATACTAGTTTGATGTCAGTTATAGATCTTAATCAATTTTGAGGGTGAAAATGCTTCTAGTTTTCACGACTGTGAATGGTTTATAGTTAATGCTAGTTGTAATTCTTATCAATTTTAAGGTTTAACTGGCCCGTTTCTGTGAGGTAGGTATCATCATCATTGTCACTATTATTTTGTAGTCCCTCCATCCCAAGAAAGGAGTAGCTTTGTCTCTTTTTTGAAAGATTTGCTAAAAAACCATATTGTTAATTCATATTCTGTTTTAATATCTAAGTTCCTTATCCATTTTCAAGTGGACCCTTTTCTCGACCAAGGTTTTGTGTACAGCATTATAGCCCTCCAGTTAGTGAGATGTGATAATGGTATAATACCCTTGGAATTCATAGAAAACAAGTCTAATATGTTAGTTTGACAATTTGATCTACTAATTTTTGAGATTTAATTTAATTGTAGCAATATCCATGGACTAAGTAGCATGTGATCGATATTTCCCATCAATTTCAGGTACATATATAAGCATGCGGATGGTTATTTTCCTGCTACTCTATATGTTGAGGATATTAAAGCTTTTAAAGCTGAGCAGGCTTATGGTAAATGTTTCCCTAATTTTTCTTGATTTGGGTATATTTTGAAAGAGAGCGAATTCGTTGTTGACACAAATTGCAATTTATTTAGCCAGTCTATTTCTTTTTGAAGTATATCATATTTGTATACAACAAATACTCACACACACTCCTCAACTTTGTGAGGCTTAAACCCTTGACCCCAGATAGGCTAGGCTCTACCAGTAACCTGGGTACTGCTAGGCCAATGACCTTCTATATTGTCTTTTTGCTGTTGCCTGTTGGGTTGAAATCGACATGAATCTATGTGATGATAAAGATAAAACCACAACTATCATAAGCTTCATAAAGTTCATATGGGATCAAGTGGTTCTAAAAATGTTGATGTCTGAACCAATAATATGCATTGTAAATACGAAATCTTCATTTAATGTAGACAACCTTTTTGAAACAATGTACACCTAAAATTTCATGACTAGATAATTGGCCTTGTTTAATGCAGTATTTGGGTACGAGCCCCATTCAGTTTGGCCAATTGCAGCTGGGATATTATCAGATCTTACAGGCTTTATGCCTTTTCCCAAAGTCAAGCTCCTTGCAAGTACCGCAGTAAGATCTTTAGAACCAAATGGTAGAATATTCCTTTGTACTGCATCAAATATATGCTGAAGATTCACATCCATTAGGTGTTCTACACGCCATTCATGAGGCATTTATGGACATGGATGGGACTGACTGCAGCAACAAGGAAGAATTTTTCCTCTCTTTTAAAAGCTGGATGTAGCTGCATAGTGATACCGGGTGGAGTACAGGAGGCATTTTACATGGAGCATGATTCTGAGGTTTGCTTTTCATGACTTGTACATAGTCCCTTTTGTTGTGTGCTCATAAGATTGACCGCAAAAAAGAACACAGACAAACCTTTCATCTTAGTACATGTTGTCTGAATATGAAGCACAATAGATATTTATAGGAGGTAAATATAGATATTAGAGAATAATCGATCTTATTTTATTGATAAGAAGGCAATCTAGAAACTGGAATGAACATGGAGGGTATGAGTCTAAGTTATTTATTTTCTATAGGTTGCTTTTCTAAAGGCAAGGAAAGGATTCATACGAATTGCAATGGAGACCAATTCCCCCTTGGTTCCTGTTTTCGCCTTTGGACAGGTATTTACTAAAAGGTCTAATCTCCCATGACATGTTCAAAATTAAATTTATCACCTCGGTATATCAATAAAAAATATATTCATAAACTGAATACTCTCTGGTTAGGTGGGTCAGAATCAGGTATCCGTAGTTAGGGCAAGTGTAGGTCTTATCCACGAGTATATTTGGTTTTGACATTATAACTTGAGTGGAAGTATGTTTTCTTGTGGTGGTGTTCTCTGAGAGATAAGGTATGTTTTCTTATTTAATGATAAGGTAGCACGATAGATAGTTCGATGATTAATCTCCCATCGTCACACATAATTGTGTTTGGGATGGAGTACTATCACATGCAACGGAGTACCCATAATCTACTTAACACGAACTTTAAAAAACACAAACAATAGTATATTAAGGATCTGCGAAGGTTTGTTGTTGAAAACCAAATATGCCACTTTACAGCAAGATATATTCAAAAATTACAATAATGAAAAAAAAGCAATACCGCCTTGAATTCATCTTTCACGCGGAGGCAATCTTATCTTGAGCCTTGACCAGACATTTCCTTTTTGATCTGAGCCTTGGTCACTGGAATTTCCATGGATCATTGGTATTATCAAAGAGGAATAATTCTTCCAATGGAGGGAATTTTGTAGAAATGAAGGTGTCGTAAAATTGGAGCTGAAATTTTTGTTCTTGAGAATAAAAAATGTATGTTCGAAATGGGATGCTTTGAAATTAAGGAAAATAGTCGAGTTTTATAGGAAAAGAGAGGGAGAGTAGAAGATGAAGGTGGTGGGATGTGTTAGCAAGATGTTTTCGTTCTGACGTTTTAATGTTTCTTTCATATGTATTTTCACTTTTGATAGTCATGATTAAAACACATCTTATGTGCTGCAGTCCTTCGTTTACAACTGGTGGAAGCCACGGGGGAAGTTCTTTCTGAAACTCTCTCGAGCTATTAAGTTTACACCAATCATCTTCTGGGGTACCTTATGGTATGTTCAATTCATATGATTCTACATTCAGAAACCACCTTATCATCATCAGTGATAATTTTTGCTGGTTGCAGGTCACCTATACCCTTCCGGCGACCAATTATTGTGGTGGTTGGTAAACCAATACATTTCAAGAAAAATTCTACACCCACCATGGAAGAGGTATTAAAGATACTAATCCTGTCAACTCTCTTTGAGTGCTTAAGACTCCCCTCTTTATCTTTCTCCATGGAAATCTTGCTGAAATCCATTAGTTTTGAAATGTACTTGCAGAGAAGAATTGTAGTATGCGCACTTGAAGTTGAAAACTTAGTAGATAAAAATGTATCTAATGAAACCCATGTTTGCATAAAGACCTTGTAAGTAGTTCTAGTGCTTAAAGATGAAAACTTGATGTTAAAACGGACCTATTTGCACTCTGCTCGGTATGTTTTTGATGATTCAACTAATCATCAACTGTTGAAACCGAAGATATCTCTATAACTGATCTTCCGTGGTTGAAACCGAGGATCTCTCTACTAGGGATAAAGTGAGAGAAAAGACAGAAGCCATCCTAGTTTGTAGTTAAGAAGGATGGTTGTTTTCAATTCTTTTTTGCTGTAATTATAATTTAAATGGGATGTTCTGATTTTGGGTTACTACATTTTGTGTAGGTTTCTGAGGTACATGGTGAGTTTTTGAAAGAACTTCAAAATCTATTCAATAGGCATAAAGCGCGTGCTGGTTATCCTGATCTTGAGCTACGAATTATGTGAGTGATCGATCTTTACAAATTAAAATTGCGAGTCCAGACCAGATAGATTGGTAGCAGCAAGCAGGTAAAAGAATAAAAGTTCCTAGATGTGTATCAAGGAACTAACATCTAAATATTATGGAAATGAGTTGTAACTTAATGATGTAAAATGTTCTACATTTTGGTCGTTAAATGATTGTTATGGCAAAATTTATTAGTTCTTAAAAATCCAAATCGAAACATTGGGTCACATTGCCTATATTGAATGTACGAAACAAATCAAGCAACGAGCCACATGAAGAAGGTAGACCAAAGGGTAAGCGAGATCGATGCTAAACCGTAAGCCCACAGCATGATCACCGAACATTCACTCTCGCCAGCACCAAATAACTGTGTTATCGTACCAATGTTCATGGCTGGTGGGAGTGCAAACTGTAGCAGAAGAACGAAAATGTACAGAGGATCTGCAGGTACCAACCCAAGATATAGTGCTCCTTTCACGATCAAAATGCCAAAAACCGGCAACAAAAGATACCGAACGGCTACAATTCCAAACACAATTCGTAACGAGATACCAGACCCTTTCAGACCTGCAGATCGATATCGTATCAGGCAACTGAACTGATTGTATAGTACCTATGAGATCAGTTTATGATCCAATTTCACCTCTTAACAGATTCCCACCCACTATCAACGTCACAGTTGGAATCGCTGCGTCCCTGACACAAAGACGGTCCATTAGTTTACCATTTTTTTGTTCGTTTTATGGTCACAAAGCCAAAAATCGAGAGGAGGATGTACCCGACTAAGGATGCGGAGTCTTGGATCACTCGAAGTGGAGCTGTGGTGCCTATTAGTAACCTGCGCAAGGGTCCAATCGTCCCAACGACGAAGCCCACAATCTTAACGACAAAAGACACTGTTATGTGCATATAAGTTTCAGCCTCCATCGATGGTTGGCCTTTATCGACTGAAAATGTAACGTAAGAACTGGAAAAAAGCAGCATACCGCTCCGATAGTCGATGGTGCAAACACCAGCTTCAAGTTGATCCGTTTTGAGAAGTTCCCCAGATGTTGCTTCATTACATCTAACATCGCCTAATGCACATCAGAGTTTTGAGTACTTTTATGCATCAAGATTGCAGATCAAATAAGGATGATTCGATTAAAGTTCCAAGAGCGAAAACAACCTTCCCTTTTTGCTTCATGGTAATTGAATTCGAAGAGGGAGATGAAGGAAGCAAAGTTTGGGTCAACTCCGGTTGGACGGTCCCTGTTTCGTTGGCAACAGCGATGTTACCGGAATCTTGGGCGGAGAAAACCCGTACTAGGTTGTAAACATAAGCCCACAGAAACACGGCTCCAATCTGATGAATTTATGGTTAAAGTTAAACGGTAGTTTGATTGGGTTGAAGCGATAAAAACAAAAAACTGAAAAAGCGTAAGTAAGTTAAAAGGTCCATACAGCCAAAGATAGTGAAGCATAAGCCATGGCATAGTGATGGCAAACATCAGGATCTCCAAAAGGACTACCTTCCTCTTTGCATACAGCTGGGATTATAATCAAAGGCAAGTTTCCCAGGTTTCCTGTCATTAAGAATCAGACCATAATAAATCCAAAATCTTAATTGTTTGTTATATATATCTTGATGTCTCATGTAGGCACCTGCAGCACAGGCCCCAAGAATGAGGCCCTTTAGATGTTGAGGTGGTGTAGCAATGACGATAAGCATCCATCCAAGTGCTGATCCGATTATGAATGTTGCAAGAATATTTACAGGCATAAACCACCTGCACTTGATCCATTAATTCCAATCCTTAAAGTTGATCGAATCTGTGTAATTCATAACTGATCATAAGTAGTGAGTTAGAAATGAACTTACATGGATACGATGCTTTCATAAGTGATTGTTGTAGCCAGGTTGGTAGCCACAAGTGCAGGATTGAAAACAAAGAAGACAATCTGAAGGAATTAAGCCATTTTTGGTAAAGAAATGAATGAAATCCATGACCATATAGGGTGCAATTAAGAAGACTTGAATGCAGAATTGAAACTTACATTATTGAGTTGCTTCCTTGTAGTTTGTCCCAAAATATCAATATGATGCATGGCAAGAAATGAACCAAGTGCAGTGATTATGAGTACTTTCAGAACAGGCATAGAAGCAGCAGAGAGCAGATCCACAAACCCCATCTCTCTCTCTCTCTACCTCTTGCTAATTACTGATTACTCTCTCTCTCTCTCTATATATATATATACACACACACACACTGATGTATATATATATATATATATTGTAACAAAAGTCATATATATTGTAGCTACATATTATTATGTAATTAACTGGTATTATATATATTATTAGAAAAAGACAAATGAACACATGCATGAGAAATCATCATATAATTGGAGTACAAGTGCAGGCAGATATATAACTCATTCCATTAATTTATTGTCAGCAATTAAGCATCTGCTAATAAATATTTGAAATAAAACAAACCCGGCTCCAGAGGAAGAAAGCAACTAATTGGCCATATATCAACATTGGAAAACTTACTAGATTCTTCAAATGTTAATTTAAATTAATTTTAATTTTAAATAAAGAATATTTTAGAAATCTTATCTACCTTCTCCTCTCACCTTTTCGACATGAATCTTTCACTAATTTCCAACGTAATATTCACTGTATAAACGTTGCGATACACTGTAAATGACGAAAACATAAAATGTGATACAAAAGAAACACCAAAATTACGAATTGTTTTAATGACATCAAAGATAACAAATTTTAAAGAGTTATGGATTTCCTATTATAAAAATTATAGGGTTTTTTATTTATGAAGAGAATTATCATTTTTATTATTAAATTAAAATTTATTTAATAAATAATATTATTATCTCAAATGAGTTGATTTTATTCTATTGACAGTTATTACAATTAATTTTAGTTTTTATTTCTTTTCAATTTAAATAAATGGATTTATAAATTGAATTCATATCCGATCCACAGAAGAAGATCGGTGATTCGGAACCAAAATGGATCTCTTTGAATGCTTATTATTTATTAATTTTACAGAAGAAATATTTTGATTTTTATTAATATTTATAAAATGAGATACGGGATTTGGATTGGATATTATTAGCGGTGTGTCTGTCATTTTTTTGTTTTCAACTTCCAGAATGGTATTACCTTTTTATTTGTGTTTTTCTTTTTTGGTATATATATATATATATATATATATATTATATAACGATGTTGCTTGTTTTCTAATAACTTTTCCAAAAATAGATAACTACGTTTGTATTAAGTAAACATCTATTTAGTTTTCAGTTTTATACTAATTTTGAAATTATTAAGGATGAAATTGTTATTTAATTAATAAAAACATGTAGTAATTATAAATCTTTTAAATTGTATGATTTTTTTTATTTCCTTGTATTTTTTTTACTAAAAAGTTTTAGTGTCACTAGATCACTACTTAGAGCATCTTTAATAGATTTTTCAAAATAAAAAAACTAAAAATTGAAATTTAAAAAAAAAATTACATCTATCTCCAACAGATTCTTCATCTTAGAGAATCCAATATTGATTATAATATTAAAATATTTAATTCATGAATTAAAACATTATTTCTTTCTTTAAATAATTATTTTCATAAATAGTAGAAATATATTAAATAATATTTTTTTCACATGATAATCATTATCAGGATAATTTCCCTATTTAAAGAAACAGCCATAAAAGATGTATAAAATTAGATATCTACCCCTCAATTGTTTTCAAAGTTTGTAAATGTTTGAAATGTAATATTTAAAATAAAATAATTCTGAATCAAAAATCATAATTATAAATATAGTTTTGTTTAAAAAAATAATATAATAATTTAAAAACAAAACTTAGTCGGGCCCGTAACAAAATTTGGACCCAGGACCATTTACATTAGTTACATACAAGTAGTCCCATTTGGATCCAGGACCATTTACATTAGTTACAAGTAGCCAGGGTGTTCCAAAATCCAACCTAACCGACACACCATAAAATAATTCAATCTGAAGCAACCCGATTTTTAATCGAGTTGTAAAAATTTTAAACCTTAGATATTGGGTTGAAATTGAGTTACTATTATTTGAACCTAACCCAACCCAATGAACCCGATATCCTTGTATTTCTTGGATTTAATATGATTGTTGAGTTTATATTAATATATACATTAGACAATTACACTGTCACGTACCCTCTTCATATATACATATTTTCAATCTATTCTTCATCTCTATATAACTCATTCAGTAACTGTGAACATATATATGTAAATTGAGAAAATTAATTAAATGTGATATACGTAAAATTTAAGAAAGTATGAATAAATTGTATCAAATGCTTGATGCTGAAAAATAAATTATAAGTAGATAAATAACATATTCAATATTAGAAGAATATTTTAACGTACCAAAGTATCAACCCGACCAACCCGTTCGGTTTGGTTTGTGTTGGGTTGAGCTTTACTTTTGTTCATTTATGTTTTACAAACACATAACATTTAATCCATAAACATCATGCTTTTCTATACACGTCTTGTAAACGATATTTTATCGATTAAAAACATACAGTAATAAATGAAAACCCGACATACGAAATCCAAAAGTAACATTCCGTGTCGCGTTTCATCATTTTCGATCAAACGAGTTAGTGTGAATCAAGCCACGAGCCACATGAACAACATCGACCAAAGGGTAAGCGAGATCGACGCCAAACCATACGCCCACAGCATAATCACCGAACATTCACTCTCACCAGCTCCAAACAACTGTGTTATTGTACCTACCATTTCCATTTCCATTACCATTTCCATTACCATATCAACAAAATCTGTCTTTGAAATCCAAAGACAAAACTGTAATGATAATTCTTACCGATGTTCATGGCCGGTGGAACCGCAAACTGTATCAGAAGAGCAAAAAGATAAAGAGGATCTGCAGCCACTAAACCGAGATAAAGAGCTCCTTTCACGATCAAAATGCCAAAAACTGGCAACAAAACATACCGAACTCCTACGATTCCAAACACAACTGATAACGGCACACCAGATCCTTTTAGACCTGCAAATTGTGTATACTAATATCAACCAACTGAACACACGATTAAAATGTCAAATCTATGATGTAAGTTTACCTTTTAAAAGGTTACCACCTACAATCAATGTCATAGTTGGGATTGCTGCATCACTAATGGAGAAAAGGGTCCATTAGTTTTTCGCGAAAATTTCCATCTCTACAAAATGAGAATCGAAGCAGATTATACCCGATTAAGGATGCAGAATCTTGGATCACCCGAAGAGGAGCTGCGGTGCCTATTAGTACCCTGCGCATTGGTGCGATTGTTCCAATGATGAACCCCACCATCTTTACGATAAAAAGACAACTTGTTAAGGGTGTACATATATGTTCAGAGTTCCATTTTCATGATAAAATGGTATATAACTATATAGGTTGAAGAGCTGGAAAGATCAGTGTACCGCTCCAATGGTTGATGGTGCGAAAATTGCCTTCAAGTTAACCCGTCTTGAGAATTTCCCCAAATTTTGCTTCATTGTATCTAACATCACCTGATCATGCACATTGCATTTTAATTTTTGAGATCAAATTTATGAGTAAATAAGATGAGATATGGATCACTTTGAAAGCAAAAAACAACCTTCACTTTTCCTTTTATGTTAACAGTAGACGACGATGATGATGGAAGCAAATTTTCGGTCAAATCCTCTTCTTTAAGAGGAGTGACACCATTGGTACCAGAATCTTGGGGATGACCGGAGAAAAACCGTACTAGGTTGTAAACGTAAGACCACAAGAACACGGCTCCGAGCTGATGAATGCGTGTATATATGGCAGTTTCATGAGTAAAAATAAAATAATCATCCGAAAATTTCTAAGTAGAAATACATACTGCCATAGATAGTGAAGCATAAGCCATGGCATACTCATGGCAAACATCAGGATCTCCAAAGGGACTGCCTTTCTCTTTGCAAACAGCTGGGATTATAATCAAAGGCAAATTCCCCAGGTTTCCTGTCGTTCATAATCAGAGTCTGAAAAATCCGTTATCCACGTGGATTTACCATTACAACAAAATCGACAGGCACTAAATTTGTTTAAATATCTTAATAGACTGTTTTATATGACTTAAGTTGTTACAAAACACTTGTTATCATAATACATTTTGCCATATAAAAAGGCTAATAAGACAACATTCTATCAACTTATTGTAATACATTTATACAGGAAGAATAATTATTTTATCTCAAGTCCTATACCTCGATCTATTAAGACATATCTGACATGCTTATAAATATGATTTTGTTGTAGTTTAAGTTCTTTTTTGCAAGAGGACAAGTGATTTACCTGCTGCACAAGCACCAATAATGAGGCCTTTTAGATGTTGAGGTGGTCTAGTGATGATTACAAGCACCCATGCAAGAGCTGACCCAATTATGAATGTAAGAAGTACATTAACAGGCATAAACCACCTGCACTTTTTTACAGTTAAAATCCTTAACCATTTTTAAGCAAACAACAGAAGTGAAGAAAACTTACATAGAACTGATGCTTTTGACAGTTATTGTGTTAGCCAAGTTGCTGCCAACAAGTGCTGGACTGAACACAAAAAACACAATCTGAATCACATGCCAAGGTGCTTATTGTGAGTCCCAAAATCAGAAAAATGGAATCCTTGATCAGCAAAAGGAAATCAACAACTTACGTTATTGACTTGTTTCCTTGTACTTTGGCCCAAGATATCAATAGAATCCAAGGCAAGAAATGATCCTAGCCCAGTAAGTATGAGGACTTTGAGAACAGGCATGGAAGCAGCAGAGAACAGATCTAAAAACCCCATCTGTCAAACAAATTGTTAGAAGTCAACTGGGGTATTATACTATTATTTATGAACTTATATTATAAAAGTACACTAAGATCCATGCATTGGCAAACAACAGGAGATACACAACCACCCAATTAAATAACAAGTTGACTTTAATTTGATGTCAGCAACTAACTATTGAATGAAAAGAGAACAAACCCTAGAAAGACTCAAACTTGAAGAAAGTAAGTGGCCATATTCCATTCAAAGTCATCAAAGCTTTAGAACAATAATAGAATGGGGAAAAAGATTCTGACCTCAAGATGGTTTTTCTATCAGACAAATCTGCAAGAAAACTTGTTATCAACTTTTGATATGGATTCTGTTTTTCTTCGATTTCTTAAAAAATCTGTTTCCCCATGGAAGGATGAACCCAGAAACAGAGAAAAACCCGCACAGCAGTTTACAAAAGAAAAGGTTAAAGACTAAGAATCAAGAACATTATTAAGGATGAAAAAGATGGGAATCTAATAAAGTTGATGTTATTTCGTGGATATTTATTTATTCTGGTTTGTATCTTCAGATTGAATAAAGTTAATGGTTTGTATGCATATGTGTGGTTGGATGACTGATGATGCAATTCACAACTGATTCGACCACATCAGTTGTGTGGGATTGGAAGTCTTGTAGATGTGGACCCATAAAATTGTCCATGGAATCTCCTATGAGTTGAAACGGTACCACGGAAGCATTTGGATATCACCAGGATCACGATTACAACCACATGTACCATCACAACTACTGCCACCACTAATAGTCATTATCATTATTGCTAAATAAATAAAAGGGAATTTGAATTTCGACACTTGCTATGTAAAAAATATGTTTCCATTTTTAACAATGAGAAATACATACTTAACTTTCGTATAATCAAAATACCACACTCGTTCACTTTTTTTTGGCTCGTTTTACCGTCACTCTCTTTCCTTATTTTTCTCTACTCTCCCTTACTTTCTTTCAAAAGTTTTTACCATATCTCAACTCATGTCATCCATCTAAAACATAATAGCATATAGCTAATGTTCCTTCTAGGCCAATCAAACTCTTCTTTTGACTTTGATTTGGCACTCAACTTTTCTTCTAGGCCAATCAAAAGTTTGGCCCCCTTTTTAAAAGGACTCAATTTCAATCGATTAAAGACTATGAATGACATCTTTTAAAAATAAAATGTTGATATGTCCCCTCCGCCATACGGGTTTGATGCTTCTTGGGGTTGCTTTAGCAACCTTGAAGTCACCGGATGAATTTCCGAGTAGATAGATCAGATCGAGGCACGATTGTTGCTCCTCATGATGTGGACTCAACATGCTCCTACCCAACCCAGGGCACCATATAATGTTGGGAATAAGGCATGATTAAATAATATTTCATTCTAGTTGTTGCCACTAGGGGTGCTCAAAAACCCGATGAACCCGACCAAGCCAACCCGAATTTTTAAAAAAAACCCAACCCGAGGTAACCCGATGCATGATCAATAAAAAAATTAGTCAACCCGACCTTATTGGGTTGGAATCGGGTCAGGCCCAAAAAAACCCGACAACCCGATGAACCCGACCTTAACTTTAGCTTTGAATTGTAGATGACAATCATGACATGACCAACCTCAACGTCAAGAAAGCGAAAGCATCGGGGTTGGAAACGTCTAAAACTATTGTTGTTGATTGATGTATTATCATTTGGTTTAAGCATTTTTATTGTAATATCTAAATATTTGATGAACTTGCATATTATCTTGAATGGTCGGTCGTATTTCAAATGAAAGGTTCCTTTATTTTTATGTGATTTTACATTGTTTAAACACAACCCGATCAACCCGAACGGGTTGGGTTGGGTTGAACTTTTGTTTGGGTTGGGTTGGGTTGAAAATTTTCAAACCGCCAACATTGGGTTGAGTTGTTAAAACGGTTCTAAACCGATCAACCCGGGCCGTGAGCACCCCTAGTTGCCACCAAGTCTCTTGCTTCTATTAAGCCCAACTTTAGTAGAAGTTGGTAGTGCCACTAGGTGGACGGTCGGGAGTGAGTTGTGAATTCTGATGATAAGGCTTGTGATGTTTGATCTAAGATATTCAGAATAAAGTGTTGTTCAAAATAACACAAGGCTACATTGAGAGAGTGCTCCTCATCGGGGCTCCCCATTTCACCCCTTTTGTTGGTGGGGGTGAAAAACATTCACTAGGTTTCATATTCTTAGAAGATAGTGGAAAAATTAAGATAAACGAATTAAATAAGTATCAGATTGATCAAATTGAACAAATGATAGGTCAAGATCATGGTGTTTATTGGGAGAATGAGTAGACATCAAACAAGCAAATTCTTATTTCTTTTTATCATGGAATTTATCATCAAAATGGATCACCCTAACACGCCCAACGAACTCATACTAATTGCTAGGACTTGTCACAAGCAAATTCGAAAATGAAAGAAGTCTACCAAAATCCTTGGTACTTTTCCGATCAATCACTTGGCATCGGGTTCGGATCGCAGGAACCATAGCATGGGGGATTAGAATCCTTTTGCCGCCGCAAGGATGGCTAATCGTACACAGCAGGCTCGACGACCCCTGGTCTTGGATGTCATAATGTGCGACTGACTATAGTAACCATTTTTTTTAGTGTTTTCTAGGGGCGCAGAGCCTCACTCTAGTGTTCACCCATTTTCTTAATGTTTTTTGTACTTTAATCCTCATTTATCGAATAAGATTTTCTCACCAGTAAGGACAATGAGGTTTTTTTTTCCTGCTTTTAGTAATACAGTAGCCAGAAAGAAAGCAATAGTGTCAACTAAAAGCAGTTAGAACTGTTAGCCAATCATGCTTCTTAATGTGCATTGCTTTGACTTTTTTACTTCTGCTATTGAAGCGAAAAACCCAAGAAAACTTTAGAAATTCATTCTTCTTTGGCGACAAAAAATGCTATCGCCACGTAAAAGTACTGATCTGTCTATCTGCTTACTACTTAACTAAGAGAATGATATTTATTAAAAGAAGTAGTACGAGGAGCTAGGTTGTTGTTGTCTTCTTTTTGGTAGTGGGATAAAGGAACATGTCACATTAGAGGTGAAGATCAAAATTTTCCTCTAATCACTACGATGACCTGGTCCCACTTTTAGTAGACTCGGCTATGAATATTCATTCATAAATGAATGGAGGCTTTTTCTTTCATAGTTAACCCTGTTTCTTAAAGTCGAGACTATCTTTTTCGTTGATCCCCGAGCTTATGGTCCTCCTTAGAGTTTGGGTTTTATTGGATGACTTTGTCACATGAAGGCCAACGTAGTTTTTTAATTGATAAAGTCAAGAGAGGTTATTCAGTAGCCATCATGGGTTCCATTACTTTTATTCCATTCCGTCCTCTCATAAGAGGAAGGATATCGATTGATCAATTCACCATTGAGAGCATTCCTAAAATGACGAATATTGTAATGTTCTAACAACATCACTCAAACAATGGAGTGAATACAAGTTCAAAAAAAATGGCATTATATGCAAGTATATAGATTTGAGATGACGCATACAAGTAAAGGATGATGTCGACACCCTTTGGTTTTGCATTGAGTTACAATCCTATGAATCGATTCGATTGTTACTTGATGGAGCACGTAAACAACCTCTTACGTTTTGTTCCCTGTTTGTATTTGTATTTTTCTGTTTTGTATATTACTATTTGAACGATCCGTGTTTTCCACAATGCCAAAATCAGAAAAAGGTATTACACTAGTAATCGCCGGTCAGCCATACGGCGGTGAATCCGTTCCCGGCAACTTTACGTAAGGCAGAGCCCTTTTTCTGGTTTACATAATTTCTAATGTACTAAAGTACTTTTGTAAATGTTTATCATATTATTGTTAGTTATTCAAATACTTTTACGTAATTTAACCTGATATTTCGTAACAGACGCATAAAACCTTTTACAAAACATGATCATTTATGTATTTATAATTTAATAATTATATTATTTTCTTCTAATTTCAATCAAATTAACCAACTTTATTTACATCCCTTAATTTAATAAAACAAATTTAAAATTTTAATGTTTGGATATTTTCGCATCTTCTTTGCTGTTTTCAAATTCGAACCTAACGGGCTCTATTTTAAAGTTGGCCCAACTATATTTGAAGCCCAATATCTAATTATTTTAAGGTAGCGTTTGGTACGTAGACTAGACGGGACGGGACAGGACTGGACATGACAGGATAGGACAAGACTAATTGTCTGTCCTACGTTTGGTACGACTAGAACAAGACTGGACTAATTGTCTGTCATGTGTTTGGTAAGCTGGACAGGACGGGACAAAACTATTAAAATGACCAGATTGCCCCTAAATGTTGTTTAATGTTATTATTGATCAAATAATAAAGCTGATGCCAATAAAATCTCACATGAACATCACCATCATAATATGCAAATGCTAAAATCTACAGCAATGGTGCTTTCTACTCACATGAACAAAACACTAATATGCAAATGCTAAAATCTCACATGAACATCACCATCATAATATGCAAATGCTAAAATCTACAGCAATGGTGCTTTCTACTCACATGAACAAAACACTAATATGCAAATGCTAAAATCTCACATGAACATCACCAATCGATTCGAAAACTGATTTCGAGTTCGTGAAATCGATTTGGTGGAAGCTGGAGTTCGTGAAATCGACAACCATGGAAAGTATGGAGAAATCGATTTGGTGGGAGCTGGAGTTCGTGAAATCGATTTGGTGGAAGCTGGAGTTCGTGAAATTGACAACCATGGAAAGTATGAAGAAATCGATTTGGTGGAAGCGGGAGTTCGTGGAATCGAGTTCGTGAAATCGATTTGGTGTAGGAAATTATGGAGAAATCGACAATCATGGAAGATAGAGAAGAAATTTTACCCGAATCTGGAATCAAGTTTGAGCTCATGGAAATCGAAGTGTGGAATCGATTTGGAGTTCATGGAAGATGGAGGCCATAATCAAGCTGCAAGATGAAGAAAGATAGGAGGCGATGGAGTTTATAATTAGGTTTTGTATCTGATGTGATTTAATAAGGGTAAAATTGTAATCTCAATGTTTAGTCCCATGTTGTTCCACCTTTTTTGGTGGAACAAAAAAACTCAAAAATAGTCCCATGAAAACTCATTTTTGTCCAATGTTGTCCAACCTTATTTTTGTCCCATGGCATGCCAAACATGGCACTATTTATTTTTGTCCCGTCCCGTCCCACCCAGTCTGCGTACCAAACGCACCCTAAAAGAACAAACCAAAGAAAATGGAGCACAACTTTTGTTATCGATCCAAAAACGACACGAATACTTAACATAGACGGACCTAGAGGGGTGGTTAGGTGGCACGTGCTACCGTACTGTTCCTCCGTGGTAAGGTAAAAAAAAATTAGGTTCGTGAAAAGTGCAACTGTTTTATTCTAAAAGGTGCACATGTTTTATATGGTGTCACGGTATTCAAAAATTCTAGGGTCCGTCCCATACATATAGTGGCCAACATCGTATAGTCATGCCATAATGTTACAATCGTGGTTAACATCGTATAGTCATGCCACAATGTTACAATCGTAGAGCTTATCGTTATACACACAATACAAACTTTTGCCAACAGAAAAATAATAACAACGACACCGTGTTGGTTTATATATTTTCTTTAACGAATAAAAAAGTATATAAATATATATCAAGAGACGATCCACATGAAAAGGGTCGACCAGAAAGTGAGCGCGATCGCTGCCACAACATAAGTCCATAGCATGATAACCGCACACTCGCTTTCTCCCACTTCAAATAATTGCGTTATGGTACCTGCCAATGCCATTTTCATTAGACTTATTTTTTTGTTACGGATCCATAAATCTTGTAACCAAAGATAACGTAGATCATACCAATAGCCATGGCTGGTGGAAGCGAGTATTGAATCAGAAGAACGAACTGATATAGCGAATCCGAGCCCACGAATCCAACACGATGTGCGGCTTTCACTATCCCGATGCCCACGAGTGGCAAAGCGACGTAACGAACAACTAGAATTCCTATAACGAGCCACAACCCTACGCCAGATTTCTTCAGACCTAAAGAAGAACCAAAACAATTACCCAAAAAGTCCATTTCTGAAGGGGTTTACGAAAGAATCACGAATAAAAATACCCTTAAAGAGATTAGCTCCCACAATCAATGTCATGGCTGGAACTGTTGCCTGACTGTTTGTTTGATCAAAGATTGAAGAAGATGAATACGAAAACAAAAATTTGAGGTCAAAATTACGCTCGATATAAATATATAACCAACTTATTTGTACCCGAGAAGAGACGCAGAACTGTCGATAACACGAAGGGGGGCATTATCACCGATCATTAGCTTTCTAATCGGAGATATCACTCCTATCAGAAGCCCAACGATCTAAAAAAAATAGATCAGATTCGATAACCAATAACGAAATGTTCTTGATGATTCGCAGAATCGTATAGTACCGTGGCAATGGTGGATGGTGTTAACCACATCTTGAGGTTGATTTTGTCCAAAACCATATGGAAATGTTGCTTAATCTTTGTTAACCCAGTCTCCTATTTAAAAATCAATCATTTTATCAGAGCAGAACTTTATGTAAAACCATAATCATGATCGTTTATTGATCAAAGACATTACCTTTTCCACTTCATCATCTTCGAATTCGCTGTTCTGTTCCTCCACATCTGAATATTCGTCGTCCTGAACTTCACAACCCTCAAAACTCGCACGAGAAGTTTGTAGCAATGATTCCGTGTAATTTTCGTTGAACATATCCAAAGTTTTACCCGAACAATCAATGCTAATAGTCGACGCCTTCGAAAGGTCTTTGCCACTCACATTCCCATAGGCCCGGATGATGTTGTACACATATGTCCAAATATAAATCGCACCAATCTGGGACCTCACGAAAAAAATCATTTTTGTATCGTATTCGAAACCGAAACTTGAAATCAAAGGAAGTACACGTTAAAACTTTTATCATGATTTTAAGTTGATTTAGAGGTTATCAGATCAATCCATTGTTTAACAGTACATGATCAATTTCAAGATGTTTACCGCCATAGAAAGCGAAACTAAAGCTTGGCCATTAGTCGAGCAAGTAAGTTTATCCCCAAACGGACTGTTACTCTCTTCGCATACTGCAGGAATGATGATCAGAAGCAAGTTCCCGAGGTTTCCTGCACGAAAACGAAAGCAATAGATACAGAAAAGTGTGTATATATATATATATAATTCGAAAACCTCGAGAGTAAAAGAAGGTTACCAGCAGCAGATGAACCAATGACTAGACCATGCAAGTGTTGTGGGGTTCTGGTGATTTTAACGAGCATCCATCCAAGTGCTGATCCAATTATAAAAGTGAGAAGGATGTTGACTGGCATGAACCATCTACATTTATTTACACAATCAAAACAACAAAATTACTTTTTGCAGACTAAAATTTAAAGATGCTTAATTTAAAGGGTGTAATTGGCTGACAGAGAAACTATGCTGGTGGCTGTGACTGTGTCAGCGAGGCTACCACCCACAAGCGCTGGAATGAAGACATAAAAGACGACCTGTTTGTTTTACGAATCGATTATTAGGAGCCATTAATCATGAAGGTTAGAGTGAATTTGATGGACTTACGTTGTTGAGATGGTGGCGAGCGGCGTCGCCCATGATATTAACACGATCTACGGCGAGGAGTAAACCAAGGGCGGTGATGAGAAGCGTTTTGAGAACCGGAATCAGTGCTACAACAAACAAATCCACAACCGCCATGGATCCGATCCTTAAAGAATAATATTATAAATTATAAATTCTAAATAAATGAATAAAAGAATCTGGGAGTGGAAAGGGGGTTTTTGAGAAGAAATGGAGAAGCATTTGTTGAAAATGAACAGATGGTGGTGCATTAAAAAGCCTTAAAATGGAGTTTAGGATGTGGGACCAGCAAGTAAAATGAAAATAAAAAAAGGTTTATTAATGAATTTTTGGCAAAAAAATTGTCAGCTTTTTGGTATTTCACACTTAAACGTTCCTGTAGACGCAGCTTGAGAACAAGTGATGTACGCAAAGTTTAACTCAAAATCATTGGAAAAGTATATTATAGATTGATGAGATGAAATTTCCTCATCAATCGTCATCGTCATCGATTCCATGTGGGAGGGTTGTTTTCTGGATGGAAGGAACATGTTTCTTAATCGAGAGGGACTAGTTTCGACAAAATCTTGCTTTTGGCATAAAGCTTTTCTTTAAAAGCGTATTGAATAAGTCACTTCTATATCTTTAAGCCACTACTGTCTACTAAACAATCATTTATAATTGACTAAATAAGTTGTGAGTCATACTAATTTACTAACAAACAAGGTGAAAACATGATGAAGACCATTCTAGACACAAAAAGACCAATAATACAAGGAAAAAGAAACGTGCGGAATGGAAGCAAAATTTGGGTTTGAAATTCAAAAGGCATGTCAGCTAAAATTGGGGGAAATAGATTAGGGTGCAAAAAATAACATTATTTGCTGAGTCTCAACATGATTGATCAATTATTTTTACCCCTAGTGTACAAATTTAATTTTTGTTGGATTGAATTAACGTGTGGCTAATATTGGTTCTCCAAGATCTCATGAAACTTGAAATTCTTAAATAATTGATTCATATTGGATCTCATAATTAACACAAACTATTTAGTTCTCATTTGATTATATCTATACTATATTATAAAGCATTTGGCTAAAACTCTTAAAAACTCTTAAAACTCTTAAACTCTTAAAAACTCTTAAACTCGTTCATYCTTATCCGATTTCATTCCATATCTGAATTCGTGTAACTAACTACAGATAAACACAATCAAATACAGGATAAATATCTCATTTTAAATATAAAAAATCTAAA